GGTATAGGATCCACTGAGAAGAATCTGGTTCCATCTTCTGTACACCCCACATTAGATATTTATCCACCCCCTTGTTGTTCTTTAAGTGTTTGGAAAAGGCTCCCATGGAGATTTGCTCCATCATCATCCCAAGGATCAAGGCAGGGTAGACTGGACTGTGTTGAAGACCTTGGTGACATTTGCTTTCTTCCACTGCTCAGGAACCAGTCCCAGTTGCCATGATCTTCCAAAAATAATATACAGTGACATTTGGCCAGGTCCTTCAGTGCTACTGGGTGCACACCATAAAGTTCCAGGGGTTTCTGTATTTTCAGATATTTCAGATGTTCCCTAATCTGATCCTACTCTACTGAGAGCAACCCTCTCTGTTCCATACTTTGATTCAGGGTTCTGGGATTCCTAAAGGCTAGTCTTAGCAGTGAAGACAAGAAAAACACAACAGACACAAAAATCAAGGCAGCCTCTCATCTCGCTTACCTTGAAGATAATTGCATGAAATGGTGTTTAAACTGAAGTGAAACAATGTAGAATGCAGAGGCCAAGTAGTGTAGTGACTGAAGAGGACACTAATGCAGACCTGTCCTTCCTACTGTTCATGTGATTCCCAAATAAATGCGTTTTTTTACTTGAATAGCAGCCTATTTTACCTTTTAAGTATGTTACATCCACTAATGCCACAGTTTACTCCTGTGAATTTTCCTTACAAGCCTATAAGTACTGCAGAGCATTGCTTATAAATACTCTCTTAATTACACAAAAGGCTCTTGGGTCTTCAAATGGCTTCCCTTTAAACACACCTGGCTGAAGAATCTGATGTTCTTCTCAGTGGGTGATTGTAAATGAGACAACTAGAAAGGAAAATATGCAATCTGGATAGATTTGGATCCATCTAAGCAATTATTTTAGTGTGTGTTGTATGTAAGGGATTGCTTGCATCTGTACAATCCTTGGCTTTTCTTAAAAAGAATAAAACAAACTTCTTTTTTTTTCTGTGAAGGCAGGGTGAGAGGGGAAAGAATTGTTTCTGAGTCTTATCAAGAAATAAAATAACACAAAGTACATTTTACGAAAGAAGAGGCACACTGTGTCTTTTTTTCTTCCACTGGCCTACAGCCTAAGGGAAACATTCACTGGCAAATCTAAAACTTGTTCAAAACCCTTTGGAGAAGCAGACTATTATTAAATTATTTATTTTATCTTTGAAGTGTTTCCATTTTTATACAGTTAAGGATTTCTCTGTAAAAGCCGGGGTGCCTGAGAATATTTGGCCTGTAGTGATCTTTGAAACATAAGCCTCCTTTTTTTTCCTCTCTGTCTTTTCTTCTCCCCCACTCTCTCCGTCCCAGTTTCTTCCCAAAATGAATGAGGATCTGTCTATTGCAGAGAGTCTGTACTCATTGGGGAAATTTAAGGAGATCTTAGTAGCTGGAAAGAACTAGACCCTGATTTGCACTGTTTGCTCAAATTTATTTTAGGAGAAACAAACCTGGCAGAATCAGAAAGGGTGGGAGACATCTCCAAATGCTCTCGAGCACTTATTAAAATGTTATGTAATTAAATGTTAAGATCATGCCTGTAGCAGTGTCTTTTGAAATAACTGTACAAGCTGAGCCTCCTGAAACCAGCACAGGAAAATAATTCATTTAAAAGGTTATTGGCCATTGAGGCAAATGCCTTGGGGACCTAATTTAGTGGGAGAACTCCCATTGCCTTGCGTGGGCTGGGGTAGGGACCTGCTGTTTTTTCCCAACATGATCCTTGCAGGCTTGGAGGGCAGAGAAATGGGGGTGCCATATGAGGAGCACAGAGCTCTGTGTAGGGCTGAGGAGCTGCTGTGACCCCAGGGGGGTGGCAGCAGGGCTGGGGGGCTGAGGCTCCATGGGTGGTGGGTACAGGGAGCAGCAAGGATGCTCTGCTGGGTGCTGGATGCAGCCCTGCTGCCAGCAGGAGCTGTGCCACTCGGAGACACAGGGACCAGCATTGTCTCTGCAGGATTCCTTACTGGGTGGCAGAGAGAGGGAACATAATACAAGGCTGGCATGTGAGCCTGATAGAAATGTGCTTTTTAAACAGTATGGCGGGGATTTCTGCTCAGTGTTGGTTTCACAGTTATTCCAAGGAGGGTAACTCTGTTCTTGCTGCTACAGGCTCAGGGAGCAGGAATGGTCTGAGTGTTGGGGGAATGGATGTGGAGGTGCAGCCTGGGCACTGCAAGTACCTGTGTGTCAGCAGCTCCATCCCCCAATGTGGGACACCCCACACTGACAGGGTGAGTTGTGTGGAGTTGAGTGCATGGAGGAATTAAATAGGAAAAAGGATGTGTTCTCCCATCCATGGATGGGGACTGGATGTGTTAGGGAGCATTTCCATGCAGCAGGGCTCCAGCTGAGCTGAGCAGTGGGGAGTGAGAAGTGCAGGGCAGGTACCACTGTTGATGCTCTGTGATGGTGCTCACAGGGTCTTAGGATGAGGGAAGAGATGAGGATCTGACTCCATGTTTCAGAAGTCTGGTTTATTATTTTATGATATATATTACATTAAAACTATACTAAAAGAATAGAAGAAAGGATTTCCTCAGAAGGCTAGCTAGAGTAGAATAGCAAAGAATGATAACAAAGGCTTGTGGCTCGGCTCTCTGTCTGAGCCAGCTGGGTTGTGATTGGCCATTAATTAGAAACAACCACATGAGACCAATCACAGATGCACCTGTTGCATTCCACAGCAGCAGATAATCAATGTTTACATTTTGTTGTTGAGGCCTCTTGGCTTCTCAGGAGGAAAAGTCCTAAGGAAAGGATTTTTCATAAAAGATATCTGCAACAGTGCTCCTTCCCACCAGTAAGTCCTAACCCATGACACTCAACAACCATCCTGGGGAATTTCTAGCTCCCAAGACTGCTGGTAGTGAGAGGTTTTCCCTTTTAGCCAGATCTCTGATTAAAGGGCGTAGCTAAAATGCATTGAAAGCAGGTACGCAATGCTCCATTTGTGTTGTTGAACTTTATTCCACAAGGGAGGGCTTCTGTGCTGGTCTGTTTTGTCTTGTGCAACCTCCCTTGCTGTTTTACCTGCATATGATGATTGGATAAATGAGTCTCTTCCTTCTGGGGAGTAATGGGCATCTTTCTTTACTGTAGCCTGGGTGGCAGTGGCTCATCTCACACTTTCATCACCCAGCATATTGCCTGTCATCAGAAATCTGCTCATCTTTCCTTCATTTCTGAGGCTGGTTAAGAGCACTTAGCTGCAGATGACTTCAGGTGCTGCCCCTGCTCCCACACATCTCCTTTTACAAAATATTTGAAACTTAACATGTTGGAAGGGCATCTTGTGAAAGGGAACCCTGCTGCTGCAAATTTAAAATCACATTTCCATGGTCTCTAGTGTCAGGCCAGATCAGACACATCTACAGACCTGAGTCTGAGCAACTCCATACCACCCATGAACTTGCAGGAATGATTTGAGATAACTGTGGGAAGACTAACAGAAAAATTCCTCATATGGGGTGAATCTCTGAATAGTTCTGAACAGATAATAAGCCCCTACCAAACCAATTCTCTCTGAAATGTGGTCTTTTAGATCCAAAACTTTGACCCCAAAGCCAGAAGTGGTGTCATCAACCCATGGCTTGAGTTTGCTTCAGGATCCATGTTATGATGGGAAAGCATATCAAGTCTGATGTCAAGATGTCCACATTTTTTGTGAAATAAGTGATTATAGGACCCAAAAGAAATATCAGAATACTAATCACTGAGAGCTTGGTGTTGTTCTGAGTAGCTGGAGCAACCGGCTGGCTTTTGGTTCTGGGGAAATCAGTGGAAGCCAGTGAACCAGCCACATTTCAGCTCCCAAAAGGGCCAAGTTTGGAAGGGCCCCACTAAAACTGAAGGAATTCTGTGTGTCTGGGCATGTCCCTGAGGCAAAGCTTCTGCTAAAGTGAAGGATTTACTGAACAGGGCACAAGGAGAGAAGAAAAGACATTTTCCTTGTCTACAGCAGAAAAACCAGATCCAACAAACAACATTATTTTTACGTCCCCTGAACAACACTGTGGGCTTTTTTTCCAGTTTTTTAACATTTTCATCTACTGCTTGCAAAGCCCTGCAGTCCAGCTCTCTCTCAGCAGATGGAAATTGGAGGGGAAGAAGGAAAAAAAAAGGCTGCATGTGCTGACATATCCATATGGCACTGAAGTGAGAAATCACTTGGAACATGGGGCCTCCTGAGGGGTCACAGCCTCCATACGTTCTGTGACGGGGGCAAAGGGTCCTGGAACTTGTTGCTGCTGCAGCAGAGAGGGAATGGGGCGGGTGCAGCACAGGCTGAAAACTCCTGACAGACACAGAGGGGAAGGCAAGAGACATTTTCAGATATATTTCAGATGTTCCCTAACCTGATCCTCCTCTACTCAGGGCAATCCTCCCTGCTCCATGCTTTGATATAGGGTTCTGGGATTCCTAAAGGCTGGGCTTAGCAGTGAAGACAAGAAAAACGCATCCAGCTTCAAAAACCAAGGCAGCCTCTCATCTCTTTTACCTTGTAAATAGTTGCAAGAAATGATGTTCAAACTGAGATGAAACAATGCAGAATGCAGAGGCCAAGTAGTGTAGTGACTGGAGAAGACATACCAATGCAGCCCAGTCCTTCCTACTGTTCATGTGATTGCCAAGTAAATGCTTTTTTTTTACTTGAATAGCAGCCTTGCTGCTGCTGTAGCAGTGAGGGGATGGGGCTGGTGCAGCACAGGCTGAAACTCCTGACAGACACAGAGGGGAAGGCAAGAGAGGTGAACATCCCCCAAGGTGTTTTGTTGCCTATCTGCTCCCAAAAATCCCAGGCCCCACTGGTGAGCCAAGCTCCTGAGTGATTTGCAGCCTCCTGCTGTAAAATCATAATTGCATCAGAGCAAATATCCACCAGCTTTGCAATGTGTAATAAACTCCATCTGAGAGAAACCCTCTCCAACACAGAGGATCTGCAGAGGATGCTGCAGGCCATGTGGGGAGGGTTCCAGTGCTGCAGGAGATTCTTTGGGCTTTCTGCCTCTCCAGGAGGACCTGTGAGGACTGCAGCAGAGCACAGGGGGGTAAGGAGATGTTTGTGCATTGTTCTGAGAGGCTCAGTGTCTGCTTGAGCTGTCTGAGCAGACACTCTAATGAGCAGAGTCTTTTCCCTTACCCCTTCTGTTACCTGAACCTGTTCTGAACTCACTGGTACATCCATCCTTGGGTTCTCATTGACTTGAGCAGGTTTGGCAGCAGCCCCGTGTGTTCCTGTGTCTGTCTGTGCTTCTCTTCTCTGTTTACATGTCTGTCTGATGTGTTTATTTTCCCTGGTACCCAACACTGCAGTACACAAGGCAGGAATCATCCTCCACAATGCCAGTTTCTTTTGGCTCCTTTCCTGTGCGTGTCTGGCTTTGCACTTTTCCTCTGAAGTTGGGGCTGGGATTTTCAGTTCTTCTGCAGGGTAGCTCTGACTCTGCTGAGATGAAGGGTCTCCCACCAGCTTCACTCAGAGCAGGGCTGAGTTTTCCTGGCTATCCTGCCTTATCCTGCAACAGAAACAGCCTGGAGTTGCTGTGTATCCCCCAGCAAACGAAAGGTAGTTGTGATTTTCCTAGAAAATCAGAAGGGATTTGGATGCCCTTTCCCCCCGTCCAGGATGAAATGTTAGTTGTTGCATCTCTAATAAGGAGTTAAAATAGAGGAGATGGAAATAGTTTTTAAGAAAAGGATACCATATGCAAAAAGGAAACGAGCTGTATTCAAAATGCATTCAGAACCATATATATAGATGTAGAATCAGAGTCCTGTATATTTTTAAATACATATATATATATATACACACACACATATATAAAATCATACAAATTCAGAATCAAGGCAATGTGTTCTTGCAGCCTAGAAATCCAAGTCTCTCCTCAAAAGAAGGGTGGCCAGCAGGTCAAGGGAGATGATTCTCCTCCTTTGCTCATGAGATCTTACCTGATGTGTTCAGCTCTGGGGCCCTCAACACAAGAGAGACATGGACCTGTTGGAACTAATCCAGAAGAGTCCACAAAGATTATCAGAGAGCTGGATATTCACCTCTCCTATAGAGTTAGGCTGAAAAAATTGGGATTGTTCATCCTGGAGAAGAGAAGGCTCTGGGGAGACCTTAGAATCCCTTCCAGTGCCTAAAGGGGCTCCAAGAGAGCTGGAGAGGAACTTTGTACAAGTGCATTCAGCAATGGGAACAGGAGGAGTGGCTTTAAACTCAAAGAGGGTAGGTTTAGTTTATTAGGAAGAAATTCTTCCCTGTGAGGGTGGTGAGGCATTGGAACAGGTTTTCCAGAGAAGATGTGGATATCCCCTCCCTGGAAGTGTTCAAGGCCAGGTTGGAAGGGCTTGGAGCAGCCTGGGACAGTGGAAGGTGTCCCTGCCCATGTCAGGGGTTGGAAATGGGTGATCTTTAAGGTCCCTTCCAACCCAAACAATTCTGGGGTTCAATGATTCTATCCCCATAGCTCCAGACTTCCATGTGTGTAAGTCAAGGGCACAATCCCCTTGTTCATACTCAGAGTGGCAAGAGGAGTCTGCAGAGAGGTCACAGGACTGCAGCATTTGCAGTCTGCAGGATCCTCTGAGGCCAGCTCTGGTTCAGAGTTTTGCCAGTTGATTGTTGTGATCCTTCCTGAGCTTTTTGCAGGGAAAACCAGACAACAGATGCTCCAAAACTCACTGGAGTGATGGAGAGTCTTGGTCTGAAAACCAGCTCTGTGCAAGACCTTCATGTAGCCAGTGTAACTGATTCAGCTGCAGGCCAACAAACAGACATTAGGTTTGTGCTCCTTATAGCTCTTTGTCAAAAAATCTGCCCATTTATGTGCCCTTATTTTATATTAAATACTAATCTTAGTTACAAGCTCTGAGATGGGCCCCTCATTAGTAACTAACTGTGAACTTCAACTGTTTCAGATCAAGTCAGTTTTTACTTCTAATTTTTCAAAAGAAAAGAGTTTTGTAGAATTCCACCCTTCTCATAATTTCCTTACTTGTGACTAAGCAGTCCTTGTAGGGCCTTATAAAAGGGGTGCACCTGTGAGAATTTGTTCTTTGTAGCAATAAAATAAAATAACATCTAAATGCAGCTAACACTCTTTAATCTATTGTGGACTGGAAGTCCAAGAAGTCACTCATTATGCATGGAGAGCTTTATACCAGGCATGAGTATTGCTTGGCATGGGTCCTTCTTTAATTGCATTATACAAACATAACAGAAAATTGACCCAAAGGGGGAAAACAATTTTATCCTTAGAACACTCTTCTGACTAAGTACAGAGCTTTTAATTAAATTCCCTATACAAAGTGACTGCCTGTCTCTCATGTTGAGCCTAATTGATATCAAAGCCATCCTTAAAATCAATATTTTTTTCTGGAAAAAAGAGCAAATACCTTCTCCACCCCAACAGAATTCAATAAATAATTTGATAGTACTTGACTCCTAACTGTAATCTTTGTCTCATTTGAGCAGAATATAAAGTGAAAATTTGTCCCCACTGCCCCCCAGCATCCCCTTTGCATCACAAATCAGGCACCACAAAATGTCACTATTCCTCCTCAGCAGGTCTGCTGTTTCCATTTATTTAGGTGCACCACGCTGAGTAAGGGAGGAATTTGAAACCTTCAAGTGGCAACACATTTATGTGGCTTTTGTTACCTATTTTATATTTTTCACTTATTTATGATTATGGCTGCAATTGGATCCCATTTGGAGTTTCAGGAAGATCAAAGGCTTGTTAAAGCAGGCAATAGACAAACCCACACTCCTCCAAAGCTGCTAGGGAGGGTTTACAGTGCATTGTACCCCAGCTGCAAACCCCTAAGCAGGTGCCCAGGATACTCCTAGAAAAAATGGTGTGCAAAATGGGACCTTGCTTTGACATGGCAAACACCCAAATCAAAGACCAGGTTTGTTCCTCACCTTTGCTTTCTCCTCTCCTTCATCTGTCCTTCTTGCTTTGTGCAGGAGCCCTGTCAATCTCTCTTGTCAGAGCTGGCAGGAGAGTTGGTTCCCTTTGCCAGGAGCAGTTTATAAAACTAATGGAAAAGAGCAAGAATATTAAGCTAAATAATAGGGTGGTTGGTTTGGTTTTTTTTTCATAATTATTCAGTTGGAAGCCTGGCATTGTTTATTGCCCCACCAAAAAGATGGTCTCACCATAAGTCGAAGCAGAGTTACCACATGCAGCCCTTTTGCAATGTCTGTTTCTGATAAAAGCAGGAATAATCTCTGCAGAGACCATTGCCTAGCGAGGGAGCACAGACTTGAAAGCTCAGCCCTGATCTCCAGTTTCTGTCTGTAATGTCTCTCTGTTGATACTGGCCCTTGGGGACTCTTGCTACAAGCACAATTTTCTTTCAAGAGCATATGCTAATCGTGGCATTAGGGGTGTATTTATGATCTCTGGCTGACTGTGGCAGGTGAGATTGGGAGGGAAGTGATACTGAGTCTGCAGACTGATCACACTCATAAAGCATGATTTTCTGCTTCCCCTGCACTGTGACACCCTGAAGCACAGGGGATTAGCATAAAGAGAAACCCGCCTCAGTGTTATTGGAATAAAATTTCATCCACGATCCAGGCAGCTGAGCCAGCTCTGTAGAGCTGGCAGCGTGTTTGTGCATCAGAATAATGACCTGGGAGCTGGTTTTCCTAGGCAAACAGCAAGTCCTGTGGTTTGAGAAAGGGGCAAGGCTGGGGAAGACGGGTGGCATGGAAAGATTATGTTGCTTTACTTCATTGTGCCCAGTCCTTTTTTCCAAGAAAACATAATTCATTTAGTGCTGGAGTTTATTTTGCTTCCAAAGTGGTTTCGTGCCCTTGCAACTTCATAAACAGATTCTGCTGGTTGCAAAAGGAGATAGGAGCCGGCTAGCCCTTCTTTGGGGGAGGTTTCTCTTTTGGGATCTGCATCCCACAGCCCTTTTGAAGCTTTGCTGCTGTCTTTGGCAGATGAACACGAGGTGAGGATGTTTGTGCACACCTGGGACCAACTGCAGCTGCCGCGGGGAGCACAGCCAGCGCACAGAAGGGCCTTGTGGACGGCGTGTGTTCAAACACAGCCCACCCCTCACCCGGCACAAACCTGCTCCAGCCACACACAACACAAATAAAATATTTAGCAGAGGCTGGCTGTACATCTGAATGCCAGAGGAAAGTCAGAAGGGCTGGAAATAAATATTGACGTGGAGGTGTCGAGGCTCGTGGGAAGCCAGGTGTGTGCGCCGCTGTTTTATAGGCTCTGCTAAATGGTCAGAGCCTGACTCTGCTCCTGCTTGCCATGGTGTAAATCTGAAATAACTCTGCTAATACTACCTCAAAACTGCTGTGCATGAGCCTCTGTCCAGTGGGGTTGAGTATTTCAGTGCTGTCAGGAGGACCCAGACCCCCCTTTCCCATTAATATTTATGCAGTGGTCCTCAGGCATCTTTGGGAGAGCCACCATAAAATTTCTGTTGCTGTAGGGAGAGCCCTGAAAGAACAATTTGCAGGCAGTTATCATCATTATTAGACATGGTAATGGAATTAGTAGTTATTTAATTATTATTATTAGTGTAATAAATACTCCTCACCCTCCTTGGTCCTTCAAAATGAAGCCTGAGGAAATCCCAGTGAGTGGGAAGAGCTCCATTTGGAGACAGTTATTAGGAAAACACTGCAGAGGAAATATCCATTTCTGCACACTCTAAAATCCCACAGAAGATGCCTCTTCCAGAGGTGTTTTTTGATTTGGGGAGGAATTACACTGGGAGCCAAAATTGCTGATTTATATGTATGTATATATACTGGGCTTTGCTTCATCAAATACATGGCATACAGCTCCCCAGTGTAACCAGTTAACTTTTTCCAGGAACAAGTTGCTTGGAGTCAGGAGAAACATTTATTTCCTGGTGGAGGCTGTGTGGTGACAACACAGCCTGTGAGGGAAAGCAGGTGGAAGGAAGGGTCCATCTTGGCCAGTCTTTAACACGAGCCCAAGAGATAAGTGTTTGCAGTGCAGCATGCCAAAGCCATGCAGGGAGATTTGTCTCCTACCCAAGCTAATGATGGAGCAATGTCACCATATGTGTGGTTAGTTTCCAGCAGCTCCTCACTTTTCCAGCACGAATGGAGGGTGACAGATTGTGTATTAGACAAATTACTCTTCTCTTGAAAGCAGCTGTCTCAGTGATATCCAAGTGCCTTCTTCGCTCTCTCTTCACTGAACAATTTCTGCCCCATCATTCAGAGCTCTGTGCAATATAAAAAGGTGGTTGGTGAGCAAGGCTCACAGTGCTGCTCCTTTGCTCCCAGACAGTGCTTCCTGAGGCTGTGCCTGGACCAGGGACCACTGCAGCCTGCCATCCATCCTCCCATCTACCTGCCAAGTGCTGTCATCCACATGGGCCAGCCCTCTTCTGGAAAGAAAAGGAGGGCACATCCCAGCTGCCTGCTGAGAGCAGCCCTGCAGGCTCCAGCCAGGGAGGGGGGACAGCTCTGATGGCCCCTGGAAGGGGTTTGAGCCAGGCTGTGGACCTGTGTCTAGCCTGGGATGGGTGATGGGGGCATCTCCAGGCATTGCAGGTTGGATTGGTTTCCTCATGTTGGGGCTGCTTCCAGGAAAGTCTCCAAAGAAGCAGATCCATCAGCACTGTGGGAAGGTGATGGGGAATTGATACTCTCAAGGGAAGCCTTAGCGGTTGCCTCAGACAGCAAATTCACTAGTTGCCCTGGGGGCAAGAGCTGGAAGTTAAACAAGCTCCTCAAAAACATCATGTCCCTGGGAATACTTTGGGAGAGATCAACATTTTTCACTTTTTTCAGCTTTCAGAGGCAGATGGTTGTTCCACTTGCTTGCTCAAAATTTTAAGGCCTTTCAGATATTAAAGACTGATCTCAGTTACCAGTGGAACCCCAAGTTCACACTGATCATTCCTGTGGATACTGCATGAGGGTCACCCAGCTGGTGATGACAACTGTCCTGAGAAGAATCCTCCTCTTGGACTATTCTCCTTTGGGACACACCTGTAGGTCTCATCAGCCAGATGTTGTCAGGGGTCTGGTGCTCCATGTTACCCTCTGTTTATTTGCTTTTGGCTCCCATCATCCAGCACATCTTTCAGGCACCACCCAAGCCCCCATTCTTGGATTTTCTCTTTGCCCTTCTTCCTTATTATCACTTCTGTCCTTCTCTTTGTCCCCTCCTGAAGCTCCTGCTGCTGCTCTGTCTCCAGGACATCACTATGGATAGTGCATTGCCCTCTAATGGATGGATTTCAAACTCCTCCATCCACAAGAACTTTTGGGAAAATCCTTAGACCAATTAATGAGGCTAGCTAGCCACATCCAGATAACTTTATATTCCCTGATCCCATGAATCAAAATAAAATACCTTTATTTTTTTGTTTTCTCTTTTTTCTTTTTTTTTAGTACCACAGATATCGGACTGAATCTTCCAGCTATTTTTATGAAGAGGCAGAGGAAATCTGTGCCAGTATGAACTCTGGTTCCTTCATGTCCATGAATGCTTTAATTGGCTTCAGAGTTAGGAATGCATTAACAAAGCTGATTCTGTGATTCTACGCATCTGGATTTCAGGGTGGGTTTTGTTGGGTTTTTTTTTAGCTTGCCTAATCCTGCTTAAAGTCTTAAGATTTATTTGTATGTTTATAAGACACAGCTTTTCTCATTATATGTATGTTATAGTCACCATTAAAGTAATACAAACAAAAAGAAAAACAGAATGGACTTGCAAGCAGCTGATAATTAATTACGGAGGACTTTTGAAAGGGTGGCTTAGCATCTTAAGCAATTCCTTTTGCTGCCAGATACATGGGCTTGTTTTATAAACTACAATCAATCTGCCATTGGGGGGGAAACTGCAAAATGAACTTAGTCATCTGAGCTCATTTTCAGTTTCAAAAACTGAAAGGTTTCGGAGTATAAAGTACCCTCTTCTTTTAATATCAGTAAATAAGTTGATTTGTTTATATGGTTTTCAATACAAGTAAACTGCTTGCCATTTAAACAAGTTCAATCAGCTGTGAAAATTGACATTTTTAACCATAAAATCAGACTTCATCCTACCATGATATTAAATATTAAGGAATCATTTAAAGGACAGTATACATTTCAGAAACCTGCCTGGAGAGATGAATGCCAATTTCTGCCATTCAGAAGTATGTACAAAAAAAAAAAAAACACGGCCCTTGGCTGGAGGCCTGCTGCTCTGTAAAAGCCACTTTACAGACTTATTCCAACATGGTAAATCATCACTGCTCCGAGGAGACATTCGAGCTCCACATTCAGCCCTTGCGTGGCAAAAACACATCCTCAGAGAGGACGGATGGAAAATGAGCATTGTGTGCTGATGCTGTCCCTGATGGCATGTCCAGGGCTGTGGGAGGTTCAGGAAGGGCTCAGCATCCTCTGCTCCCTGGGGACAGGGGTTTTGCAAGCCTGGGAAGCATCTGTGGAAGTGAGGACTGGGATTTCAAACTTCCTTTGCTCATCCAGTGGTGCTTGGAAATGGGACATTCCTACAACTATTGAGACTTCAGAGTTCTGCACATTCTCTTCTGTCCCCTGCATTCTTTTTCTTCCTCCTTCTCCTTCCTTTTTTCCCTCCCAGTTTCAATCAAATTCTGGGGACAAAAACACACCCCGTGCTGGTTCTGACCGGGCTTACAACTGACAGAGTTCTTCACAGCTCAACACCCCTGATGTCCTGCCTGTGCCAAAGGGGTCCCATTGTGTAAGGGGTTTCCTTCTGAATAGCACAAAGCAAAACAGCAAAGCACTGGGATTACTGGGCTGCTGAAGGGAGACAATGGGGAAACAAAACTCAGGCCAGAGAGACATTTATTTTTCAGAGGGGCATGGCTGCCCTTACACAATCCCTTTTAAAGCCCTGTGAAGTTTCTCTAACACAATCCAGTCCCGCAGCCAGGCAGAAATCCAGCGCGTTCAAAACCTTTTCATTCCATCTTTAATGTAAAAAATGTGCACTCGTTTACTACTGGAAACTGCAAGGGTATTTAAGGTACAGGAAGCTTTAACAGCAGGCTTTGGGGTGCCTCTGTTTGGGCATTTCTGGATGTTTGAAGCACAGAATGATGATGGCATCGCTATTGCAGAAATCCAAGTGGGTGCAGGTTTTGGTGACCTGACTGAGCACATCTCTGCCATTCCCTGTCCCCATATTGGCTTGGTTTTGCTTTCTCATCTACATTTTGGCTCTGTTTCCCTCCAAATTACCTGGGGTTTTTCAGAGTGGGGGCAAGGAGCAGGTACATCCCTCTCTTTATGGCTGTGGTTTTGGGGATTTGCATCCATTGTGGGGTAAAAAGGGGTAGTTAATTCTGAGGGTGATGAGACAGCTGTAAAGGCCAGGGTTTGCTGGCTATGGTGGATTCAGGTTGTGACTGTTTTTCCCTTGTTGAAATTTTCTCTGGACTCCCCCCACCACCTCCAGTGCTGGAAGTTGACCTTGTGCCCATCCAGCTCACTTGTCACAAGGGCTGGGTATGAACCCCCCAAGTGAGCCCGAGGGATTAATTTCCTCTTACCTTCCTACATGCCAGGCTGTGACTCTCTCCCTGCCCTCGGCATAATGTGAAAAATGCTGGAGAGAGAGCACTAACTCATCCCAAGAGGCTGCTTGCCATAGGGCTAGCTCTTGGCACTCCTTTGTTCCCCTACAAAGGCATGTGGGATGGGGGGGAAGCCAATCCCATCATAAGTAAACAAATGCATTGAGTTAAATTTTTTAAATGTAGTCATAAATAAAGAACTATCACTGGAGAAATCCCTAAAGACACTGTTTTTGCTAAGGTTTTTTTTTTTAATGTTGGCAGCTTCAGCAACTTTTGCAGAGATGTCAGAGTAAATAGCCTGTGATCCTACAGCATCTTATAAAAGTCTTTAACAACAAGATTTTTATGCTTTCATATTATATGTGTTCCTAATAGACATTCTGTTCATGTCTCCTTATTTTATGTAGTGTAGAAAAAAATAATAATCCCTGTCGGCAGCATATCTCAAAATGTACGTCTTTAGCAATTTCTGACTTGAGAAAGAAAGAACTAAATGCCTTTTGGACAGAAGATAATCAGGGTTTTCTGGAATTTGGAACATCCCATAGCTTCTGCACCAGCCATAAAAGGGGAGGGAGGGGAAAAGAAGTTTATTCTATTTAACTTAGCAAACAGAAATTTACTTGAGACTTAATCACACTGTGCAGGTAAATTTCCTGATACAGTATTAGAAGGCTCTTTCATCTCACAGATTAAAGGCTACCAGGGAAAGCTGTTGCTCAGTGAGGTAAAGGGTGCAACATCTCTCCTGGCTCAGTAAGCACAAGGAGGCCCATTTCACTTTCAAAGTAGAGTAAATTTTCCTCATGAGTAGAATTACTACAAACAGCATTAGTACCATGTGCTATATATTTACAACTTATATTTGGGATAGGGTTGTTTTCCCCCCAACAGAAGAGATCAAATTCATGATGAAATATGGTAGCTGAAAGTTGAATATCTCAAAATTCAAACTAAAAATGAGCATACACACATAACCATAGGCATTTTTAGCTCCTGGAACAACTTACCTAAATTCCCCATCATCTGACAGCTTTAAATCAAGTCTGGATGAGTTCCTAGAAAATACACTAAATTAGCTAAAAGTCAAGAGTCTGATTCGTGATTCCCATAGGGAGAATCTGCAGTCTGTATTATGAGGGAGGTGAGACCAAATGGGCAGAATGGTCCCAGGGATGCCAAAGCCAAAGAACAATATGTTCCACACTGCTCTCAACCAACTGCATCTCCCTGCAGAGGGAGTGACTTCATAAATCCCATTTATTTCCTTGTGGTACAAATCCGTTTTTCCAGAGATGAGTTCTTTCAACCAAGGCTGGCAAGAAACATTTGGGCTCAGGGTAAATACAAATTATTTGGAACTGGTGATCCATTTTCTGCACAGGTGCAGCTTGAGGGGTAGGTGCTGCCAAAAGGTGCCCACTTCCTTGGACCACAGTTCCACAGAACTGCAGGAGCTGTGCTGGCTTTGTATAGGGACAGCCCAAGCCTTGCCTGCAGCAGAGCTGCCTCCAGGCCTCTCTGAAAAGGGTCTTTCTCTTTTCCTTCCCATGTTTGCAAACCATCACCACAAGCTCAGTGTTTCCTTTAATGCTGTAAATAGTCAGACTGCAGCTTCCGTGTCCTGTACAACATTTTCAACATTTCTTTCTTGGATCACTCTTGTCTTCATTTCAGGCCATTATCAAACCCTTGCAAACTCACAATGGAGATATTGCAGCACTTTTCAATGAGGTAGGAATCATTCTAGCTACAGTTGCATCTGGTTTTGCTGCAAAGGCATATCCTTTGTGCTGTCCTACGCAGATAACCTTGGAGACATTGTTAAGGCAGAGTAGAAGTTTGGAAAGAGTGCCTCTACCAAATCTGGAGCAGTGACTGCGATGAGATGGAGGCCTAATGAGCTTGGGCAGATCTCTATGTTCCTGTGAGTACTGAAGGCATGATTCAAGCCAGAGCACAAATGTGGTGCTGCACAGTCAATCCAGACCATTCAGAAGTAGGTCTGGCACCTCCCATTACCCACGTGTCCATTTTATTGTGTTCATAAGAGTCTAAAGAGGGTGAAGTCTGGGCCAAAGGAATGCCATCCTAGAATGCCATTAGATAATTTCTTCACAAGGGAATCTCTTACACCATGGAATGATTTCCAGTGGCAGCTCGATTGCTTGGGACATTTAAATCTAGATCTGGAAGCAATAAAAATCAGCCATAGGCTATGACCGCCCAAAAGGCCACCTCCATCTCCACTTCCACTGAAACCATGAACAGAAAAATGGTGATGGATTTGCCATCCTGAGTAATTCTGAGGCCATTCCTGGCAGATGGCACTAGACCTGCTCTGCAAGGCTCTACCCAGACACCACCCTCCCTATTCCATAGCTTATGATTGTTACCAGGTACTGGGTGAAACACTTTTCTCAAGCAAGCTGAACAAAGCTCTCCAAATCTTCTGCTGGGCCACGAGGAAGTCATTGTTCCACCAGGATGTAACAAGAGATGATTTAGGTTATCCTGTTCATATCTGTGCTGGCCATGCTAGTTTGGCATCCAAGGGCACTTAAGCATTAAGAGGGCCTTTTGCACAAACAGCATGGTAATATACAGGGGTTTTTAAGTGCTTCTAAAATCTCTGCAGACAAATTTATGTCTTTAGTGCACAGAGCTTCAGGAATTATCTTGGTGGTTATTGTGTCTTTGAAGCGCAGAACATCCTGGATACCAAAAGCAAAAGGCAAGTACCAACTGGAAATAGATGGAATTAGGGTGGCTTGGTTGTGTGGAGATGTGAAGTGAGGCTAGGTTCAGACAAGGACCTTCTTGTTGGATCGTGAATTTCTTGTTTACACAGTTCTGCATTAGCACTTTCTGATCCAGCAAATCTGCTGCAGCTAAGCCACGTGTGTGCCTGCTTATAAAGGTTGGTAAAAAAGAATTGGGAGTTCAGCAGTAACCAAAAGCACAGATATCCCTTGCTCACTGCCAGAACTGAGGAATATGCAGC